TTTCAGGGAGAAATTTGGAACACTGAAAACACTGCACAACATCCCAAAGGCAATCCAACTTGCTTTCCTACTCCTGCTCCTCTCCAGTTCTGAGCCAAAGTCACACTGTCCATACCCACTGGGCTGGGTGCAGAAAACAAGATGATTCTTTTGAGGTTAGGATTATAGACTACAGAACTGCAGAGAACTTTAGAAATCATCTGGTCTAAACTCCTAATTTTATATATGAAGAAACAGGCTTAGAAAAGTGAAGCAAAGGGGGCAGCTAGGTGGCGCAGTGGATAGAGCAGTGGCCCTGAAGTCAGGAGGACCTGAGTTCAAATCCAGCCTCAGACCAAACACTTGACACTTACTAGCTGTGTGACCTTGGGTGAATCACTTAACCCCAATTGCCTAAAAAAGAAAAGAAAAGAAAAGTGAAGCAACTTGCCTAGAGTCACACAGTTATATTTCTGAAAGACAAATCCATACATGGCCTGTCTTTGGTTTGTTCCTAACCTCACCCCTACCGTGAGTGTGTAATTCTCTTCCCTTCCCTTCTCTCCATCCTCTCTCTCTCTCTTTCTCTCTCTCTCTCTCCCTCCCTCTCTCTCTCTTTCTCTCTCTCCCTCTTCTCTTCAACACTGGAAATTGTCTGTAACCTAGGAATTTCACTCCACAGGACTCTGTAACTAGGCATGTTTTCATTATCTGCCTCATTTCCTTCAGCAGTCTAGATACTCTTTTTCTTATTTTTTCTTTTTAATAAACTGGTAGATTTAATTTAGACATATCACAGTTACTTCCCAAAAAACAATGCACCTTTATCCCCATTATACTTTTTATTCTAGGCCAGGTATTCCAGCCTGTGACAGAAATGTATTTCTTAGCTCCTGCCTCTTACCTTCTCTACAAAGCTGGCTTTCCCATCTAGCCCTCCACCTCTACAGTGGCTGCTACTTTATTTCCTTTTTTTTTTTTAAATTTATTTTTAATTTTCAACATTCACTTTTACAAGATTTTGAGTTCTAAATTTTCCCCCCTTCCTCTTCTACCCCCTGCCCAAGATGGCATGCAATCTCATATAGGCCATACATGTACAATCATATTAAACATATTTCCACGTTAATCACGTTCTGAAAGAAGGATCAGAACAAAATGGAAAAACTATGAGAAAGAAAAAACAAAAAACAAAAAAAAGAGAAGATAGTATGCTTCCATCTGTATTCAGACTCCATAAAAACTAGACTAAACCAGGTTGAGGGTAACTGACAGGCCTCATACCCAAAGGTGGGTTGGGGAAAGTATACCCCAAGCATGTGAAAACTTCCCCAGGCAGAATGGGTGGATAAGAACAATTTCTTCCAGTGAAAGCCATGAAAGTGACTGAAGCAGGCACTGTGGAATGCTTAGAGCTTGGTCAGACATCAAAGACACCAAGGTCATCCATTGCATCTGGAGCCATTGACAAGTCATCCTGACTTTTGTCTTGCTACTGGACTTCAATGAGTCTGGAAGAGAGAGACTGGTAATTTTGTGCAACTCTGCCTCACTTAAATCCAAATCATGAGCAAGAATGATGTCATTGGTCTTCTTTAAGAGGAAAGACAAATGGGGCAGCTAGGTGGTGAAGTGGATAGAGCACTGGCCCTGGAGTCAGGAGGACCTGACTTCAAATCCAGCCTCAGACACTTGACACTTACTAGCTGTGTGACCCTGGGCGAGTCAAAACAAATTAAAAAAAAAAAAGAGGAAGGACAAACAACAAGATCTCATAGATTCATTTGAGTATTATCAGTATACATCTTCTTTGAGGAAATTCAAGATTATAGATTTAGAACATGAAGGGACCTTAAAAGATCATCTAGTCCTGTCCTCTAATTTTATTCCTGTTAAAATGTAAGCACCTTGAAGGCAGACTTTTTTTTTTTGCTTTTCTTTTTATCTTCAGCATTTACTACAGTGACAATAACAGTGACTGACTGATTGATAATACCACTTTCAAGCCAGTAATACCTACACTGTGGCAAGCTTAGACAGTATTATCACACCACCTGAATGTCTCTGTACACTCTCAGGAGCCTTGAGTGACTGATGTAGTGAATGATGGGGCCAAGCTCACTGTGGTCCCAGGAAGACAGTTGTAGCTTTTGAGCTTACAGTAGAATGGAATTACAAAGGATCTTCCCAGTTCTCCTTGATTTTAAAGAAAATAACCTGGTACCTGGCTTATTCAAGCACAACCTAGTATTACTTCTATTCAAGCCAGAGGTCAAAGGTTTTGGAGTCCTAAGGGAACAGGTGGGTGGGGAACATACTAGTTTATGACACATCATTGCTGAAGGTCAGTGTCACAAATCTTGGGTTCAAATTCTCCTGCTCCTGTGTGACTTTGAGCAAAGCAGTCTTTACCCACCTACCCTTATAAAGAGACTAAATTTGTTCTCTGTGGATCAGCATTCATTAAAAGTCTAGCATATTCAGAAAGAATAGGAACCCAAAAAAGGGGAGGCAATACGATACATGGCGAAAAAAACGCTGATGAGTCAGGAGATCTGGATTCCAATACTGACCCTGCTGCTTACCTTTGTGACCTTGGTTAAGTCACTTTAACTGTCCTTGGCCTCATTTTCCTCATGCTGGACTTAGTGATGTCTGAGAGGTCCTCCAGCTCTAGATCTTTGATCTTATGGTTTTTGATTCCAGGAAAAGACTGAACCTTCATTGGACACCATCATCTCAACATGTGCCTCTTTCTTCTGGGGAGGCATAGAGCAAAGAAATGCTGGACTTGGAATCTGGAAAATTTGGATTCAAACCCTGCTTCTTACTTTCACTAACTGTGTATTTGACCATGTTGAGCCTTCTTCATTTATAAAATGTAGATTGTAGTATCTTGGGGTTGTAGTGTAGTGCTCAAATAAGATAATATGTGTGGAAAGTATTTTGCAAACCTTAAGGTCAAATGTCAGATATTATTACCCTGACTAGTGTTAAATTGAATAGCTTACATAAGAGGTGACATTATATATGTTGGAAAGAGGCCTGGGATATGGGAAGTAGAGGACTGGGTTTTGGTCCTAGCTCTGTGACTTATTACCTGGGTCACCTTATATTTGTGATGACAAAGATCTGGAAACTAAAGTGTTGCTCACCAATTGAGGAATGGTCAAACACATTATGGTAGGCAGATGGATAGAGCACTGGACATAGAGTCAGGAAGACCTGAGTTCAAATCCCGCCTCAGACACTTACTAGCTGTGTGACCCTGGGAAAGACATACATACTGTTTGCCTAATCCACTGGAGAAGGAAATCGAAAACTACTCCAGTATTTTTGCCAAAAAAACCCCAAAAGGAGTCACAAAGAGTTGGATGTGACTGAACAACAAGAAGAAGCAATATAGTCAAAGTGAACAATTTTGAAAGACTTAAGAACTCTGATCAATGCAATGATCAAGCATTATTTCAGAGGACTACTGATGAAGAATGCTACCTACCTCCTGACAGAGATGTGATACAGAATGAGGCACAATTCCTTACAAGGCCAATGCGGGAATTTGTTTTGCTTGACTACAGGTATTTGTTACAAGGGTTTTCTTTTTTTTTTTTCTTTGTTCTTTTTCCCCTGAAGAGGGGGGAAATGGGAGGAAGAGAAATAAAAGTTTGTTAATTAAAAAAAAAGTAGGTTTGTAGTCTGCTCCAGTTGCTACAGCAAAAGTAGTTTAATTTTTGTTTGGTTATTACTGAAAGGGGGTCTGCTCAGCATTAGAGTGTATTAATTATATAAAATAATGCAGTGTGACTTCATAGGATAAAACTGAATCAAGTAACTGATTGATTGGCCGGTGTCCTAGCTTAGTGCCTACTGAGCTTCTTAATCAGGAAATTCTGGGTTTGAACCCTCTCTCCTGTATTTTTTAGCCCTATTGCCCGGGATAAATCACTTGGTCACTCTGGGGGCCCAGTTTCCTCATCTATAAAATGGGAAGAATAATAACACGTGTATATTATTATCCACTTATCCAATCTGTTGTCAAATCTTGTCATTTCAGCCTTCTAATTGATTCTCTTCAAGTCTTTCAAGTTCCAATCCATTTTCGACTCAGCTACTAAATCGATTTTCCTCAAGCTCAGGTCTGACCAGGTCAGCCCTCACTTCTGGAATTATCTCCCTCTTCATTTCTGCCTCCCGACTCTCCCGGCTTCCTTTAAGATTCAGCTCAAATCCTACCTTCTGCAGGAGGCATTTCCAGGTCCTTCTCACTGCTAGCGCCTTCTTTCTGAGTTAACACTATATATCTTGTGTTGTTTTCACCATAGGAACTTTGCATATGGTCTCCCCTTGCTTGAGGCCCGGGACTATGTTTTTGCCTTTCTTTGTCTCCTCGGCACTTAGCTCAGTAGCACAGTCCCTGGCACGTAGTAAACGCTTAACAAATGCTTGTTGACTTGTTAGCTGACCTGTAGCACTTAGAAGGTTGTTGCGAAAAATAAATTAGCCTATGGAATGTAAAGTACTTTAAGAAGCTTAAATCTCTATACAAATGTTGGTTATTATTAGTACTACTGTCAGTTGGGTCACAAATCACCATCAGTTCCTGCTTACAAAATACATCGTTTATAACATTGATATTCATAACCATCTTGTGAGTTGGGTAATTCAGCTGAAGAAATCTCTGAGACTGAGACAAGTGAAAGGACTTTCCGCTCAAGTCGCACTGCTGGTTAGGTAGCAGCGGAGCTGCTGGTTCAGGTCTTTTGCATTCCAAGTCCAGGTTCTTTCCATTGGATCACATAATTTAGTCCTAGACTCGGGATCCAGTCCTGTCTTCAGCTCTTGCTCTAGTCCAGGAGGACTTGCGAGGGGAGGCTGGGATGGGGGCGCGGCTCAGCTGGGCAAAGTTTGCCTGTGCGTTGTCTCGAGGGGGCGGGGCAGGAGGCGGGGCGGGGCCGGGCCGGGCCAAGCCCGGGCCAAAGAGGAGGCCACACCCTGAAACTACCTGAGTCCGGGAGGAAGAGTAAGAGTGAGAGCGAGAGTAAGGGAGGACTCCCGGCTGGACTGCGGATTTGGAGCGGACCCCACGCAGCACAGTGCCGGCGGCCGGGCAGGAGCGCGGAGCGGAGTGAGAAGCGAAGCAGGAATCGTTGGACCGCTCCTTGGTTCCCTTTTCTTCGCCTCCGGCTCGGTTCGCGTGGTTTCTGCAGAGCCGCAGCCCTGGCTGCTATGGGAGCCGGCTGCCAGCCGGGAGCGCGTCGCTGAGATCCCCGTCCTGCCTCCCTCGGTGGGGCAGCCCTTCCTCACACTTTTCCATCAGGGACCATGAAGAGCAACCGAGCCCAGAAGGGCAGAGGCGGCAAGAAGCACCTCAGCACCGAGCTTAAGTACAGCCACCAATCCCAGGTGAGAGTGCGGCTCAGTGTCCAGTTCAGGGGCAGCTCCGAGCCGTCGGAGGCGCTCCCCAGGATGCCGAGGGGTCCTGCCCCGCCCCACGGGGCGGTGAGCGGGGTGGGGGGGGGGCACGTTGGTGGAGAGGCGGCTGCTTTCCGATATCTGGGGCTGCTTCCTGCTTAGGTTGAGAAGCCCCTTCTAGCAGGTCAGGGTAATAATACCTCCCCTCCCCCAGGCAGACGCCGCCCAGCCTTCTCGGCTCCCTTCGGGCTCTCACCCTGCGCAGCTTCCCTCCCTGGCTCCCCGGTCCGTAGAGGGAGGGAGTCCTGCACTGATTTCAAAGTCTTCCCTTTGAGGGTCAGAAATTACTCCCCGTTCCCTCGTCCCCTCCATCCCCCTTCTGCCGGGACTGGAGGCCATCGAAACGGAGGAGGGAGGAGTTGTAGGAGTTTCTTGCTACCTTCCCCTTTTCCTTTCCTGGCCTCATCATCCTCCCCCAGTCCCGGGCCTCTCCAGCCCCGTGCGCCGGTCTTTGGAAAGGGAACCCACTGGCTCTTCCCCCTTTTGTTTGCGGCGGGCCCTTGCCGGACAGGTGGAATTTCCTGTTTGGCAGGTGCCTGGCCTCTACCTGGTGAGAGAGGACAGGGAGGAAGGACTGAGACTGTGGGATCGTGGATGCACGCCAGATCTTTGAGGAGCAAACCCCAGCCTTCGGAGGCCAACTGAAAGAAAGCGGGGGCGTTTATAGCTATAAGGCTGAGAATAAATGAGAAATAGTTAAAAAAAAATCTCTAGGGCCTGCATATGGAAAGGACCTTTAGGTCTGTACCAACTTTTCAGCTTTGCATATCCCCTATTATCTTTGCCTCCCCAGTTTTATTTAGCTCTGCTGCCTAAAGTCTCATTAGCATCATTGAACCATGCTTTAGCATGTGGATAAAGGAGGCGCTGTTGTTTAAACTAAATCCAGATTGGGTTTGGATGAGGGAGAAGAAAGGAAGGAAGAGAGAACACTTTACTTTTGGATTTTAAAATTCCATCCTTGAATTTCGAGTATTATCTCCCCTTTGACTGAGAATTTTTCCCCAGTTGAGAATTTTTCTTCTGTCCCACAAGGAACCTTGGGGGCTCTGCTTTGATGCAGTTTAGAGGGACTGCAATTGTTTAGTGCAGCATGGAGGCCTAGGCATGGGCCTTTGTAGGACTTCTCTGGGTGTAGATGATCCCAAAGTAGGGAATAGGAAATATTTTTGGGTTTTCTGGCTAGGTTGTTTTAAGGCAACTTCTTAAATATAAATTCCCACCCCCAACCACCCATCCAGGAACCTACAAGCCTGTAGTTGTAGGGAACTTCCTGTGTGAAAATTGATGCAGATCTGCGACTTCCCTGTAACTCAGGGGCACTGAGGCATTAGGAGACCTGCCCATATTCACACAGGTAATATGTGTCAAAGAAGAACTACCCCTAAGGCTAAATCTCTACCTATTACATCATGAAGGCAAAATAAAGATACAAGGCAGAAAGCTTGAGCCGGTTGATTGTGAAAAGATGCTCATAACTCCTTCTCCAGAGATACCTAAACTGAATCATAGACTTTCAGAGTTGGAAGGGATCTCAGCAACCATCTCATCCAGCATATCCAGCTCTGCTGGGAGGCCACCAATGAGGGGGAATCCAGCTGTTATAAGGCAACCCATTTCGAATTGGGCAGGCCTAATGGTTAAGGAAATTTTCCTGACACCAAATCTAGATTTATATCTTCATAGCCTCTACACGTTGCTCCTGGTTCTGCCCTCTGGGGTCAATAGTTCTCCATGACAACCTCTCAAATACCTGATAATAGATATATCCCGGTATGTCTCTCTCTCTTTTTCTCTCTCCCCTCCCCCTTCTACAAGCTAAACATGCCCAGTTCCTTCAGCCAATTCTCATATAAACTCTTTTTGTCCTCCTGATGGGGGACACGTAGCAGTTTCTGTTCTGCTTTTTCTCCCTACTTTGCACTGAGTTGTGAGTCCTTCAGTATAGAGATTGCTTGGTGGGGGAAAGTTCTCTGGAAGTACAGGTAGGCACTTACTCTGCAATTTATGGTCTTTGCTGCTTGGGACACCAAAAGAGAAAGCAACTTGTCTGTGGTTGCATAGCCAGCAGATCTTCCTGATCCTGTCAGCTCTTTATCCACTATTCCATGATACCTTTCTTATGCTATAGAAAGAAAAAACCCATACATTTATTAGCTTTGTGACCCTGGGCAAGTCACTTAACCCCATTGCCTAGCCAAAAAAAAAAAAGAAAAGAAAAGGAAAGAAAAAAACCCAATGTAAGATTGTCCATTCTCAGTGTAGACACAGCACTCTCACTCCCAGTCCCAAGTGATATCCAGGTACCAAAGCTAACATTTCTCTGTTTCCCTGGGCCTCTGGGTGAGAACTCTGAGAGAGATATATTTTCACGTACTTAGGGTTAGGTTAAGAGCCTTTGCTACAGTGTAAGGGATGGGAGGGTAATGTTGCCATACTCTCTTTTTCCTAGATATGTGCTTCCTCTTCTGTGGTAGACACCACAGCTGTTGTTCTGGGCCCCAGGCTCCAGTGGCAGATTTCTGAAGCATTTCTGATCTTGTTACCTTTTTCCCCCTCCCCATATCACATCCTGAGGTATTGAGCTTATGGAAGAGTAGGTACTAGGGCTACTTTAGCTGGTTGTTGTCCTTCATTCTTGAGGACCAAAATGACGTCACTATGTTAGAATCAAGTTACAATGTATCTGACTGTGGGTTATCAGACCAATACAAGCTCAGAATGCTTTATAGGTTAGTCCATGTGAACATTTGGGGTGGATTCTCTAAATTTGCATATCTTGCATTTCTTTTGAGCTACTTCAATTCTGCTTTGCTTATAGAGCACAGCACTTTCTCTGATGAGGGCATGCCATGCTGGGTGGTCCTGTGCCAGTGTCTCCCATGTCACACAATCAATTACAAAATTCTTAAGAGAGACTTTGAGAGTGTCCTTATATCGCTTCTTCTGAACACCTTGTGAGCACTTGCCCTGTGTGAGTTCTCTGTAAAATAGTCTTTTAGGCAACTTTAGCTACACAAATCTTGAGGGACAACTGAAATTTGAGCCCTGTGGTTTTCTTTTGTTTCTTATTCATTGAAAAAGGAAGTGTGATCAGAGCAGGTCTCCAGATAGACTTTAGCCTCTGTCTGATACCACCCTTGCAGTGCTACACATTTACTCACTTATCGTTTTGTTTTCCTTATAGTAATTGTGGTGTTTATGATTTCCTGATAATTGCCTATTTGGGCCTTAGCCTCCTGCCTTCTCAGCAGAGGGCCGGTTATTTGTTATTTTAAGGTTGTTTTTCTCCTGTGCCTACGAGTCATCTGTTCTTCCCATCTTTCTTTCTTTTGGGGACAGCCTCCTGCTGATAATCAAAACCTTGGTCTCACTTATAACCTCTCAGTTCAGTTCAATGCACACTTAAGTATTTACATTTTTCAGAGCACTGTGCTAGGTGCTGGGGCGGGGGGAGAGATGCAGAGTCCTATGTAATCAAGTGAAGCATACAACAAATAAAATATAGTAACAAAAGAAAACTAAATATATAAGAGAGATACAGTATAGGAGAGAGAAAATAGCATTATCTCCTTGTGGTAGGGGGCACAGAAGATCCCAGAAGAATTTATGGAGGAGGTGATATTTGAAATGGAACTTGAAGAAGTAGGAATTCTTTGGGGGGAATTCGAAGGTTTTAAAAATATATCTAAAGGGCACCTTTTGTTTTTATATCATCTGCCTTTGTCAGTATATCCTTGTAGTACATACTTTACACCGTGTTATTGTGGGGAACAAATAAGATAATATATGTAAAGCACTCCCAGAGAGTTGTGATACAAAAAATCAAAGAAAGAAAAAACATTGTTCAACAAAACTAAGTAATATATCCAAAAATAATCTGGCATATGCATTGTTCCATGCCCATAGTCCCCTGCTCCCACCCTGACCCCTCAATCATACCAAAAAAGATGGGAGGAACCTTTTCAAATATCTTCTTTGGGACCAAATTTGGTCATAGTTTAGCAGCATTCAGTTTCAATTGTTTTGTTGTTCTTTCTGTTTACATTGTTGTAGTCACCATGTATATTGTTTTCCTGGTTTGCAGCATTTCATATAAATCTTCCACTTCTCTGTATTATCATAATCATGACAGGGGATTTTTTTGTTTGTTTGTTTCACAGCACACTGATAATATTCATTACATTCATGTACCACAACTGTTTTAGTCATCGCAGGGTAGAATTTCAATAGGTGGAGGCAGGTGTGTTGGGGAAGAAAATGATATTTTAGTAAGGATAACTATGTGCAAAGGCTCATTTGGCTGGAATATAGCATGCATGTAGGAAAGTGTGAAATAAGGCTGGAAAAGTATGGTGGCACCAGATTGTATATGGCCTTGAATGGCAGGCTAAAGAGTTTACCTTTTGTTAGGCAACAAGAAGTTGCTGAAAATTTTTGAGAAAAGGAATGACATGAGAAGTGTTACTCTAGGCAAGTCATTTAACCTCTATTTCCTCATCTGTAAAATGGGAATAATGATAGCATGTGCCTCTCAGGGCTGTTGTAAGGATAAATGAGATCATATTTTTAAAGCACTTTGCAAGTCTTAAAGTGTTATGTAAATACTAGCTATTATTATTAAGTCATTTGCCCTTTCTGAGCCTTAGTTTCTTCATCTGTAAAATGGGGATAATGATACATGTAATGTCTGGTCGTTGTGAAGATCAAATGAAATAGTGTTCATAAGGCATTTTGTAAACCTTGAAGTGATATATAAACGTCAGTGATTATTATTGTTATCTTCATCATCAGGTTTGTGCATAACAAAGACTAATCTGCCATTTGTATGAAGGGTGGATTGGAATGGAACGGAAATTGGTTTGGAGGATATTGTAATAGTCCAAGTGGGAAGTAATAAAGTCCTGAACTAGGGCGGTGGCAGTGAGAAC